AGGAATTCCTTTTGGGGAAAATCATAAGGGATGTACACTATTGTTGACAGCAAGGGATCAAAGCGTGTTGGACAGGATGGATTCAAAGTCTTTCTCGATTGACGTTTTGAAGGAAGATGAAGCTTGGAACTTGTTCAGAAAGATGACAGGTAAAAGTCTTTTCCTCGTACAATTTTTTGATTTGTCACATTTTTAATACTATGTTATAGATTTCACTCATTTCAGAGCTCCCAGATCTCTAAAGAAAGTTTTATTCATTTAAATTTTGTAACACTAAATATAATACTTGCTGTTTTAGTTTACGTGATTGGATCGATTTTTTTTTTTTTTTTTGAAGTAATAATAAATGAAAATAGTTCAATTTCACCGATATCTCGTTAACTATAACTTTGATATATAAATATGTATACCAAAAGTTTTATTTGAATAACATGAAAAAGGTTCAAATTTCACCCGTTACTCGTTAAACAAGACCTTTAAGCCTTAAACACTTCGTAAACAGCAAATGGTAGCCACAGGCACTTCTATTCCACCGCTTAAACTTTGTATCATCACTATTTCAATTGTACAAATATCAAATGATGATCATTAAAGAGACAGTCCAGATGATCAAAAGCGCTGGTGAATATTGTGTCAGTAATTTATACAAGAAAACTGGAAAGAGAAATATCATTTGAAAAAGATACTTTGAAATTAATCGATATTTATCATATATTAGATATACTAACTTTTGAATGAGAATTATTTAGAATGGGGTGTTTCATAAAAAAATGGAGGAGAGAATAACACATATCACTCAATTTTTGCACTTTATATAGTTTTATTGGAGTGCTTTGGAGAAATAAAAGTATCTTCCTTCGGTTGAATCTTCAATTAGTTTCCTCCGCCGTTGAAATTTTTTCTTTAAGGTTTCAGTATTTATTTGATATTTTAAATTTTTGTTATACAACGTAAACGTTAAAAGATTGATTTTATTATTTAACCCTCTTTGTTTTGAGATATTTAGAAAAAGCAATTTGATAAACTAAAATATATAAAATTATAATAATATATAGAATGCTATTTAACATAGGTACTTTTACGTTGATGTCAGTCTTATTGTTGTTAGGCCTTAGCCCTTTGAACCAAATGCTCTGACTCTGATGAACTTTTATATATAAGTATCAATACCAGTTCTGCATCAATATTATACGATCCCGTAATAATACATATTTTCATTATTTGTCCTTTAGTAGTGTTTACAGATTATGCGGTTGAAAAATTTCTCAATATTTAACACAAACAATATATTTACTTTTTATATGTTAAACACAACATTTTAGAATTATTTGTAATATATTCTTAAAGAATTCAATTAATTTTGTGATATATTCTTAGAGAATTCTAAATTAATCAACATACTTAACAAAAAATTATCTTTCTACCACCTTGATTTAATTCTCATTCCCCTTGTAGGTGAAGTTGTTGATACGTGTGAGTTGCATTCTCTGGCGAATGAGGTATGCAAGGAATGTGGTGGTTTACCATTGCCATCGTTACTGTAGCAAGGGCATTAATGAAAAAGGACAACTATCTCAATGGAGGAAAGCCTTGCGAGAATTGAGAAAGCCTCCCCATCAGAGTTGATGGAGTGCTAAAAGATGCATATTCAAGATAGCATTGAGTTACAATTATTTAAAAGGTGAGAGAACTCAAGAAAGTTTTTTTGCCTGCAGTATAATGACACATGATGCTTCCATTTCAATTTGTGTCAAATTCGTTATAGGTTTGAATAACTTGAAGGAAATAATCTTAAATAGAAAAGCACGAGATAGTCTAGATGATCTTCTCTAAACTCAAAGAACTCTGTTTATTACTTGATTGTTCAAGTGAACGATTTTTATGCATGATGTTGTTCGGGATATTGCTATAACAATTCATATAAAGACCATCATGTATTTACAGAGAGAAATGATGTTAAAAATGATTGGAAAAATATAGATAAACTCATGAAGTGCACCAAAATCTCCTTATAGTAGCGATATTATAAGTAAACATTGGTTGAAGGTTTAGAATGTCCAGAACTTGAATTTTTCATATGGTTATGGAAGATTCTTCTTTCAAATATCCTGAGAATTTTTCTCGAGGATGGCAAAGCTCAAAGTTTTAAGATTGAATTGTTTCCATTATCAATTAGTCTTCCATAGGCCTTCAAACATTGTGTTTGGATGGGAGCGAAATGGAGAAGTTGCTATGATAGGAGAGTTGAAGAAAACTAGAGATCCTTAGCTTGTAGGTTGTCGTAATATTAAGCAATTGCCTAAGAAATAGTCAACTAACTCAACTAAGGTTGTTAGATTTAAGCTTTTGTACGAATCTTCAAGTACACACCATGTCATATCAAGCTTAGTGTCGTTGGAAGAATTATACATGAGAGGATGCTCTGTTCTATGGGAGTCAGAGGACCCATGTTGAAAGAAATAATGCTAGTCTTGAGGAGTTGCTTCGTTTGTCTTTTCTCACCGCTCTGGAAATAGATATTAAAGGTGTGAAGATTTTGCCAAAGGCTTTTTCTCCAAAGAATTGAAACGATACCATATATCAGTCAACCATGATGATGTGACCTCACGCATCCCGGAACTTTGGGTTTCACTGGCACATGAGAACAATCAAATTAAAGCTTATTCTTCAATTTGCTTATCGGAATTGCAGGGAATCAAGAGTGTTGAATTCTTAGTTAGCTGAATCGCAGAATGTCAAGAATGGTCTTCAAGAATTAGACAATGATGGTTTTTTACAATTGAAACATCTCTGTGTCCTAATATCCTAACTTGTTGTGTCTAGTTGACTCAACAAAATGCGTAACTGCCTTCCCCCTCTTGGAGTCACTGATTCTTTTCAATATGATTAATTGGAGAGGATAGGTAAGGTCAACCATCACAAAGTTCCTCTGCAATTTAAAATCCGTAGAATGAAAGGTTGTGACGAATTGAAATTTCTCATCTCTTTTTCCACTACCAAAACCTTCCACAACTTCAAAGACTACAGTGGAAGATTGCAAGAATGTGAAAGAGATTTTTTCAACAATGGCAGCGGTAAGATTGAGTTCTTTCAATTACGCTTACTAACTCTAAAAAGCTTCCGAGGCTTGGAAGCTTCTGCTCAGGAATGACAACAACATCAACATCACAATCGAGACATGATGAATTGACACTGTTTGACGAAAAGGTAAGCTACCTTCTACTTTCTTTTATATTATAAACAATTTTTAGTTCTTTACTTATCTGAGAAAATGTTGGATAAAACAATTACTTTTACTGCAGCTTGTCTTCCCCCTCTTGGAGTCACTGATTCTTTTCGATATGATTAATTTGGAGAGGATATGTAATGGTCAACCATCAACAAAGTTCCTCTCAATTTAAAATTCGTAGAAGTGAAAGGTTGTGATGAATTGAAATTTCATCTCTTTTTCCACTACCAAAAGTCTTCCACAACTTCAAAGACTTACAGTGGAAGATTGCAAGAGATGTGAAAGAGATTTTTGCTATTGAAAGAGAAGGAATGTCAATAATGGCGCGGTATAGATTGAGTTCTTTCAATTACGCTTACTAACTCTGAAACATCTTCCGAGGCTTGGAAGCTTCTGCTCAGGAATGACGACAACATCAACATCACAATCGAGACATGATGAATTGACACTGTTTGATGAAAAGGTAAGCTACCTTGTACTTTTCTATTATATATAAAACAATTTTTAGTTCTTTACTTTATCTGAGAAAATGTTGGATAAACAATTAACTTTTACTGCAGCTTGTTTTCCCCACTTTGGAGGCTTTAGAGCTTGAATGTATAGGATCTGAATGATTTGGTGCAGCCACCTTCCAACATTCATGACATCATCCATCTAATTTGACAAGCTTGACCGTGCTGGGCTGTGGAAATCTAAAATACATATTCCAACTTTTATAGTTCAAAGCTTTAAGCACCTCCAGCGCCTTGAGATTTGCGAATGCAGAGATTTAAAGGAGATTGTTGCTAATGGAGCAGAAGCAACTCCTAAGTTTGTCTTTCCACGGATAACATTTTTAAAACTTGACAACCTACCAAAACTTACAACTTTTATCTTGGAAGACATCTTTTGGAATGGCCGTTGCTAGAGAAGTTACAGGTTGTAATTGTAAAAAAGTAAAGATATTCACTTCAGAATGTGGTAGCTCCATGAAAAAACACGAAGGCCCAATTCAATATTCAGAGCCGGCCCTCTTCTTGATTGAAAAGGTAAGTATCTATTTTCTTTAATTAATGAAAAAGAAAATAAACAAAAAGAATAATATAAATTAGATATATGCTTTCATCTTTTTTCTTTAACAAAATTTTGATATATAGAAAAAAATAAATTTGTAGCTTGATTTGGACAAATTTATTATGAAAAATTACATCATCCAATATAAATATGAGACATTCCCTCAAAATTACCACCGAAACAGTTGATTTCAAATTAGGCATGATCTAAATTTAAAAAAACATTGTTTTGCCACTCAGTTTGTCTTTGGTGTTCAATTCAACATTTGTTCCCTTCTGTTTCTTGTTAAAATTATAAACTATTGGAATATTAGTGTTTAACTCCAACTTGCTGTTGTCAATGATACACAGATCAACCCCATTTGAAGGAATTGATAGTGGATGCATGATTCCACTTGGAATCCTTGAGAGATTTAACAACCTAAAAAAGCTCAAACTAAATGGGGATTCAGACGAAGTATTATTCTCATGTAAAGAAGAAGAGAAACATATTGAAATACCAATGAAGATAAAACATTTATGGCTATCTCATCTTCATCATCTAAAGTACTTGTGGAAAGAAGACTGCAAGCTGGATCCTGTTCTTCTGTTTCAAAATCTTACCCATCTGACAGTAACAGATTGCCATAAATAGAGATGAACTTAATAACACCTTCAGTTGCCAGAAGTTTGCGACAATTGAAGGGAATGAGTATCTGCAGATGTGATAGAAATAGAAGTTAGTAGCGATAGAGAGTGCAGCAAAACGATTTGTTTTCAGATTTCTCAAGCTTTCCAGGTTTTCTATTCTTGTTCACTGATTGCAGGCATTCCTGGAAGCTGGTAGATAAATCAGAGAGCGACATAGGCTCAACTTGTTCATCCATTTCCGAAGCAGGCTCTGCAGAATCGTCCTCCCTGGGCACATTGGTTTTTTCCAAGTTATCATTTGTTGATTCGTCTTCATTTACATCATCTTCCAACATTATAACATCTTTGGTATTAGACCTAGCAGATGGCTCAGCAGGAGGTTCCTCAGATTGAACTTCTAACACTTTGGACTCTTCTGCGACAGGTTTTGGCTGTTCACCACAGGTAAAAGAGAGGGATTGAAGGTTCTTTGAAGATGTGACAGGCTCCACCTTGACTTCTTTAACTGCTTTTGGCTGTTCATCCCTGGCAGAAAATGAGTGGAATGGTAGATTCACTGAAGATCTAGTCTGATCCAATTTGATCTCTTCCTTGTCCTGATTAAATTGAACAGCTAATTAATAAGAATACGATCGAATGAAATCGTATTTTACTTATGAAATGCACCAATTAAAAAAGAAGATGACAGCTATGCTAGTCAAGGATACAAGATGGCATTCACTTTGGCAACAATCGAACCCTTGGACAACCTCCCCTTATGAATTTCACATAATGATGACTCACACAACAAACAGGCCAACAAGTAGACAGGTTTCATAACAGTTGAAAAAGTAACCATCCAAATTAAAGTAAATAATGGAATAAAGATCCAAAAAAATTAACACTTTTTATCTTTTATTTTCTTTTCCTTTTTTAACAAGAGAGAAAAACATTTATAACTAACAATAGCCTTAGAAAATTAACATTGAATAACAGAGGCAAAACAAAGAAAGAAAGAAAGAGAAATCAGCAGCACATACTCACCCCTTTATCAGAATAGAACAACTGCAGAGCAAGCAAAAATAATGAGCACATTAAACTTGCCTTTTTTTCAGTATCAAACTTTCTCTTTGGGTTACCCAGCAGTGCTCCAAAACCACGGGTAGGTTTCTTTGGAGCCTGAACAGATGCTTCAGTAACCTATAAAGAAATAAACATTTTAATCTACAGCTATCAATTTAAGATTATAATCAATACAAGGCATTAACATTTTACAACCTTAACTGAAGAGCATATGCCAGTATTTGTCTCTCTACTTCGACAGAGTTAGTAATGCTTTCTCTGGGAAGCTCCGAGATATGAATGCCGGACTCCTTTTCTTCACCATTTGTTCCAGGATGCCCCAAAGATCCTAGTCCTTTCTGTCAGGTTCTGGAACACTGCTTCCAAATTTCAAAGAAGGTGGTAGATGTGGAATGAAGCTAGCATTGAACGCATTGCCACCACCAACACTTTCCATTGTAACACTTGAATTTTTCACATTTGTGGAAGTCTCAGCAACTAAAGCTTCAGTTTCATCATTAAGTACTAAATTTACTTCAGACGCCTACACAATCAGAGATTTAATTTTATGTAAATAAATGGAAAAAATAACAAAGAATTTAACACCAAAGGGAGTTGGAACTTAGAAAGTATCAAGTTTATTTTCTATAGCTCACAAAAACTACATCAAACATAGATCACCAATTAAATACTAGGACTACTTAATCAGTGAGCAGTTACGAAACAAGCCCATTTAACAAGTCATACCCTTTCAAACTGTCCTAATGCTTAAAATATCCATGCTAGACTTTTACACAAAATTGTTGAAGAAGAATAAAACTTACAATTTATGCTTGCCCAGCTAATGAACTCTCTTTTTGCCTGTTGAATAAAATTTTCCTGAATATATGAAAGGCCAAAGATGTATATCACATCTTCCAACATTTATTCGGTTAACTCTTTGTAAACCCTTCATTTTTTTAAGAAGAAACTCAAACAATATCATTGCAAGAGAGTGAACAAGCTGTCCACAAAAGTATAGATCCATCTAAAGGATCTATACAGAAAAGGTTGAACAACTCAACAAAAGTTGCAAATAATTCAATGCCAATAGCCAAAATTAAACCAAAACCCCTCCACAATCTAAGTGAATAAAGAAAAAGGAAGTATCTTGAAAAGCTTTAGAGACCGAATCCCGCAGAGAAGCAAGCAAACGAACTCTTTATAAACCCTTCATGACCAAAATGACATTGAAATTGCTAAATGAATTTACAACAGGTGATCATTTTAACATTCAAAAACATAAAATTAGTTGGAACCAGAGCCTCAGCAATAACAGCTAAAATTCATTCAAATCCTATTTCCAAAATTTATACAACTATACAAGTAGACTCCCTTCCCTCCATGAGGTCTAAACTGATCCCACATGAAAAATTACACGTTACAGGAGGTTGTACACTCAATGTTTCAAATTTTTTTTTTTTTCACTAGCTTTCAACATTATGAAACAATTTACTCCAGCTTAGCTTTCTTCTTACGAAGCTCATCAAGATAAGGAATTTATAGTATGGTAACTGTTGAGAAATGGCTTCAAAAGCAGTAACGTTCTGCAGAGAATCCCTAATAATGCTAACAACCGAGCCAAGATTAGGCTTAATATATGGATGCTTCAATTTCAATAACTGACATAACTTGCTGAAGTAAAAGGCATCTGTTTGGCTTTTATCACCAGAAAAAAAATGTGAATCAGGTCAAAACTCAACGAATGAGTGTTATAAATAACAAAGACATAATTTAAGTTAAAGGAAAATTGGAGCAGTTTTTTTACCAATTTCAAGAAGAGTTTTGTTAGGCAAAATATAACCAATACTTTCATCCTCTGTACGGGTAACAACATCTCGTCATTGACAAATGCCCAACCATTTAAGTTGGGACCTATAGGAAAATGAAGTAGACATGTATACACAAATATGTTATAACCATATAAGTGTTATAATAATGTGTCAATCAGTTGATCTCCCAAGTATCATCAAATCATCTAAAAAATTAGAAGTATAATCCTTGACACAACCATACAGATGACTATGGTGCCATTTGAGGCTTGTCAAAGATTTCAAAGAAAAGTCTCCGTGTTGTAGATGGTTCATTTCCTGTGGTTTACAATCCTCATGCACATAAGATGGATAATGTAAATAAATAACTAAAAACAACTTATTGCAACAATGGCAAGCTGCTGAGCATTCAATTCAGTCTCCTGCAACCTTATTTCAACATAGGAAAATAGGTAGCTACAAATTAGTTTCTATTCAAAAAAATGATAAAACAAGAGATGTAAACAAAATTTTTAGTATAAGATGTTGAATACAAGCAGGTAGCTGTCATCTTAAACTAAGATAATAAGGAACTAACCCATATACATGGAGATATGAATGCTCTTTCAGAAGCTCTTTTTCATACAGCTGCATGCATGTATTGTAACCACGCTTGTAGACCTGTTTGCAAGTGAAATTTGCTCAACATGATGAAATTACGGTCAGTAATAGAAAATAAATAGAAAGAACAAGTACAAATCCCCACCAAACTCATGCTTCTCAATACTTTTACTTGGAAGGGAAATTAATCAAACTTAAAAGTTCCATGAAGTTATTTTATGATTGAACAAGTTTGAAGAAGTTGGATTGAAACAATCATTTTCTAAAAAATCTAGGCAGTGTACCCAAGACAATGAGACATGAGGGAATGTCAAACAAAGACTTGATTGACTCAAAAAAGCTTGAAAAACAGAGATGGCTTATATTATCGACATTCTACTCTTTAGACTCAGTGATGCATAATTCACAAGCAGAAACAAGGATAGAAATGAAGGTCAAAACAACCGCTACATCGTCGAAGAGTTCCTTATCCATAAGGAACTTATTAAAGAACACACAGTTTGCATGAATTATACGTCTATCAATGAAGCATCAGAGCTTACGGACTCCTTGGACATGGAGAACAATTTTATCTTCATCATATCATATATATACAATGAATAGTGTGTATCTTCTCTGGCATATCTGTCAGCGCAAGTAAAATCAAATTGTTCAGATATGCCAACCCCCAAATGTAAATTGCTTTTCAACGTTAGTGAATGCAGATACAATCATTACCAAGTGGAGTATCTGCACTTTATTTTCAAGAAATCAATATCAGAAAAGCAGAAGTTAGAAACAAAAAGGAGAAATGGAAACCCAAACTTACCTGAGCATCTCATCGGGAAGGGGGCGTAATCTCCAATCTGCATTCTGATATCTGCAATGCAGTGGACTGATCAACCTTAACAGAAAGGAAGGATTGAAAAAATTGAACATAAAATACAAAAAAAAAAGAAGAGAAACCAAAACTGGAGAGATCAAAGTAAATTAAAGGACCCACACTCTTTGTTGGCAGTAACTCCACAAAAGTGCTATAGAAGATACTCCAAACTATTCTCTCCAATTTCAAGACCGTTGAGGCTTGAGATAAAGTCAAGAGAAATTTCACCATCACTTCAATGGCAAATCACAATACACCAGGTAATCTTAAAAAAAAACTAAGAACATATTAGGCATGAAAATATAAAAGATCAGAAGCAATAACAAAAAACATCATCAAAAAAGAGGAGGGGGGGTTGGTTTGGGGGGTTTGGAACAGACCATGTATTGCGAATACATCAATATGCATAGTTGACATGAAAACTACTTAGTAAAATCGACTTGCTACATACAGATTCTTCTTACTTGAGTCAGAAAATAATAATGCTGCTTTTTGAAGCCAAACTTACTGAAAAAAAATTCAAATTAATTGAAAATACAAACAATAATACTACACCTACAACGTTTTTATACAAACTTTCTCTCACAAACTTATGTGGCAAAATATGATTGGGTGAAAGTTTTTTAATATAAAATCACCCAATCATCTTTTGTCATGTAAGTTTGTGAAAGAAGTTTGTATAAAAAGGATGCGGTGTAATATTATTCAAATACAAAAGCATAATATGAACGAACGTTAGCCTAATTAATTCAGTAGCAAGCAGTTTGAGCATCATTAATTGCAAGTAAGACCATATGTGGTATCTTAAATCCAAAATTCCCGATAAAATCTAATAGAGAAATTCAAATTAACTCAAATAAAATCCCAATTTTCAAAGAAGTGGATTCAAAGTGCAAACCTGTCCAGTATAAAAATATTGCAAAAATGTATGCCAAATCTCATTGAAGCCATACAATATCCAGATCTGCTCCATGCATGACCTAATTACATTAAATATTCATTAAATAAAGTAGATAAGTCAAAAAGCCAAAAGAGTAGTGTGGTTAAGAGAAAACACTTTTTCTTGGTAGGGTCTTTGAAAACTTCCCGAAGATATGGGCCCAAATGGACGCAAAGTTTTCATGTATCTACCACAAAATCTTCAGTTCTGGTAGAAATTTGCATCAGGCAAGTCAATCCTTAGAAGATCGATATTGATTATGCTCCAAATTGACTAATGCCAGGTTTATTTCATGCTAGAAAAAAAAATGAAGATGTAGTCAAGAGTGCAGTCCCATGTCAAGATACTAGATAAATTCCTTACGCATACAAAACTAGCACCAAAAAAAAATAGACAGTTTATAGTATTACCTGACGGTAGATCTCAAACGGTGGTTTTTGTTCCCTCTTTTTTTTTTTTTTTTTTTTTTTTTTTTTTGGTGGTGGTGGTGGTGGGGGGGTGGTGGTGCATTTTGCTAAACACCTCATTGTGCACCATATCACTTAAAGGATTGGGATCTTAACTACACTTATTGCAAATAAAGTTTCTCTATATGTAGAATTAAAGATGCTGCAAAGATGAAACCAATATGGTAAAATTTTTGCTAAGTACCCTATGTCAATGTACCAATAAAAATAAATCAGCAGTCAGACTTTACCGCAAACTCATTTACACTCCGCAATTTAGCAGCTAACTCCTTCAAATCTTTAACTTCTTCCACGAGCTTGAATGGTGTTTCCTCCAGTGAATGGTTTTACAGGTTTAACATCCCCTATATCTTTATCCACAAACTGCAAAACAGAGAGACTCTCCTTACACATGAAGGCACAAAATAAGCAAAAGTATTATATAGGGGTGTTTGTCTAAGCTTATAAGCTGGTCAAACTAGCTTATAAACTCTAAAATTAAGCTGATATGTTTGTTTATAACTTTTTTGAGTTTACAACAAAAAATAAGTTGGGGGGGGGTAATTTTTTTTTTTTTTTTTTTTTTTCTTATAAGCACTCTGC